TCATCTCGGTAAGAGGTGAAATGTTGAAATGAAAATAAGCCAATGAGGACAGTTCACCATGGCGAGTCAACAAGAAGCAGTAATTTTCTGTCTTGTACAGCTGCAGGCAGTTTGGATTGAAGGAGATCAACTTTCTTACAACAGAACATCTCAATGGACCAAGGACCCATGTTTGGGTCAATCTGCCTGGAGTATGCACTCAAAGCAGCTATCCTCAGAACACATCTCCACCAGTTTCACATGGCAGCCCTGCTATTTACTGGAGGGAAAGAGAGGAAAGATGCAGAGACAAAAGTTCTTCTCACACTAGACATGTATGAAATTTGGAATGAAGACTAAGCATCCAGGAGACACACTGTCATGACTGATTTGGGGTCTTCTGTGCTTCAGGCAGTGTAAAGAATGAACCTGGTTTTGTGTTTTAGCAAAATCTGGTTTTCTCTGCAACTTTCACTAGGTAGCTGATTCCTAATTAGTAAGAATTATGAATTCCTTCTGACTTAAAACTGGTGTAAAATATAATTCTATAATCATGCCACCTTTACTGTGGTGCTACTGGCTGTTAATTGAGATTCTGCAGAATACAGTGTAATTATTTTCTTATCGCAGTTTTGCAACTGAACATTTCACTCTTTACGCATTTCTTTCACTTCGCAATGAAAGGGATCAACAGTGGTCTAAAAAACCAGCAGTAATTTTACATCATTTTTGATTACAGAAAATATTGCCTGAGGACAGTCAATAGGCAGTCAACATATTTTGCTGGGATAAAAGAATACTCATTAAAATCCTCTATGTGTTTGGTTCAAATCAGACACAAATTCCTGTCTCACGTTTCACTAGAGTACTTGGTACATCAGGAAACAACCAGAGTTTTCTGAAAACTCTGTTTTTTGAGCAGCCAGTATTTTCTGGGGAAGAATCATTTCACCTGAAAGTGACAAGACAGTTTTAGGATATTTGCTTCTTAGAGAAAGCAATTCATGAGCAAATCATAGTACAGAACCTGATGTGACCATCAACAAAGAGTACTTAAACTATTAACAAAGAAATACCAACATTTCAGAGAGTTCTGTTTTCATGCAGATGCAGTTTGAGCAAAATATAAAATCTTCTTGGTAATAAACACACAAAAACCAAACCATAGTAAATGCCGGTGATTGATATTTTTCATTAAGTTTGACTTTTACTAAAAAGTTAAAACAATGTATGTCATTTGCACCAGAAGTTTAGGCAAGTCCCGTAAAAATCATTCAGATAGGAATAAAAGCACACAGAAATATTTTAAGAATGCCTTCTGTAATACCGTTTGAATTAAATTCGTAACACATTAATGTCTCCAACGATCACAACAGAGTTACTAAAGTAAATTTGAATGTGACCTAGGATCTCTTAGTCTTCTAACTACAAAATGTATTTGCTTTCCGAGAAGATTGCTATTCCAAAATAAATATTTTCAGCCACTCATAGTCCCTTAATTCAGCTGAGTAAATAACTGTAACCTTGTTTCATGGTAGTTTCACTGAAACTACTCCAAAGCAATGAAAAGGGGGACAGACACTCCATTACATATACTTCTTTCTCCCTTCATGAAGGCAGCAAAAGAGTAAACATACAAACAACTTAAAAAGCCCTAGTGGAAGGCACTCACATATTGTTGTTAAATGTTGCAGGAGAATCTGTACTGAAGAGCTGCAACACGAAGCCATTTAAAATTACGTTCCTCCAGTTCTTCCATTCAACTCGTATAAGAAAGTAGCGTTGCAATGTTTCACATTTCTGAAGTTATTTACTATATTTACTGTATTGTAAGAGCCCTACTTAGCAACTGGGTCGCACAACACTAAGCATTGGAAAAAGACTACAAATACAGTGTCGAACTCCAAGATCTGGAGCCTGATTTGCACTTAGATCCTTTAATTTCATTACCCTTCATCAAGATAAGGAGCTTTAATGTTAAGGAAAAGCAACCCTTTTTCTAGTCTGGGATCAAATCTAATTATTCACTAACAGCTAAAAGCAGTGAGCACTTCAGCAGGTATCTCCTTCGTGAGCAAACGGGTTGGTAATTCCCCTGGGGGGTTTTTGCCCCATGGTCAAAACTGAACAGGTGCTCTGTGATGTACTAGTGGGTGGCAGGTACTCTTACACTAATGGAGGCACTGAAACTGCCAGAAGATACACAGTTTTCAACTCTTGGAAATGGCTTAGAAAAATCATACAAGGGAAACAATGGATGAGGACCATGAGATGCTCTCCAGAAAAATATTTGATAAAATGAAAGCATGGTTGCACGAGTAATGTACGTGTCTGAGGTTAATCTGACCGTGGATGGGCAAATATGCTTTTCCTAAGCATACATTCACTGGATGCTATCAGAAACAAGAGACAGCACTAGACTGCCTAGAGCACTAGAGCTTTTGATCAATCCAATATGGCAGCTCTTATATTCACACTAAGCTCTGAATAGCCAATATACCCTATCACTAGCTTTAATAATCAGAAATGATAATACTGGGATCTACAGAAATACTTGAGTGATATAAATGCTGCTATTATGCAGGGATGTGAGCTAATTATTGGCACCATACTAAAACTACTATGCTGCTACTACTATCTCAGTTACTTCTGCAGTAACTTATCCACTTTCTAGAAGTGGCAACCTACAATAACAGATGAGGAAGAAAGACCTGAATTAAACCGAAAGAAATAATAAATAAGCTACAAAAGCAGGAGTATCTGTACTTGTCCAGTACTATATTGTCTTCATTTCTTCTCCCTTGCCACATTTCCACTGATGTGAGGAGGTAATTTACAATCTCAAGGAAATCCATGTCTGCCTCTGCTGAATTACTGCATTCATATTTCTACTTGTTTGTAGCGAACTAAAGTCATAATAAATCCAGCTATGTAGATGAGCCATACAGGCTGTCTTTCATTTAACAAGAAATCTTTAAATACCACTCTTATTTAACTTGTACTCATTACCATCAGCAAGCACCGTGTGCGCCATACAATTCTAATTGCCAGAAATTTGAGCAAGTAAATCATTAAAAGGTTAAGTTATTTTTCATGCTAAACATAATGTACAATATTAATCTGCCTTATTTTGTTATTATGAGTAATGTAATGTCCTATAGTAGTATCAGTTTATAATTATGCCAGATCATATGGCACAGGGAAAACAAGAACAACAAACAACAGACAGATGTCATTTCTGCTTAAATCCTCCATTGTAAATAACAAACTCTTAAGTTAGACAGGGCTTTCTCTGCAGAGCACAACATTCAGAAAGAATCTCATCAGCAGAGTAAGAAATAAGATGCATCTTTGTCTCAAACTTTTTAAAAGCAAAGTAACAAAGTATCTTTCAAACAACACCCAGTCTGCTTTATATTTCCCTATTTGATCCTTAGGCCTACTTTATGGTATTATTTCTGAATAGAAATCTTTGAGACGACAGCGAAATGCAACCATTTTGGCAAAGATGAGACATGCATGAGACAATTTCATATGTTGCTGACACTACCACCATAGGGTGGATCTTATTGTCTAACACAGAAATCTACAGAGGTAAACCATCAAATATATTTCTGATGAGTGGTGTGCACTAGGCACGGTACATCCTTCCAGCTCCTCCAAAATGCAGTTCTGTATATAAGAAGCATCTCTTTCAAGTGCTACCTATTCCAGAACATTCTATTTTAGTTTAATCCTGCTGAACATCAGAGTACCAGTGGTAAATCCAGAGTCCTTAACACATACTAAACTGCAACCCGTCACGTCCCTGAAGCTCAGAAAGCAAGTTCTTTGGTACCGCTGCCAAATAAATGACAGAGCTAAGCTATCGCTATAATTTGGAGACATAAGGAGGAACAACATTATACATGGGTAGTTAAATACACATCTTAGTAATATTCAAATAGTTAGTGGGAAATAATTGATTTTTCATCAATTAGCCAGAAAACTGTAATCTCTGTAATGCTGTCTGACAACTCTACTGCAGATACAATTTAATCTAATTTTGTTCATCACAATGAATTGATTCAAAGTGAAATTTCTGTTTATTTGTTCTGATAGGTTGCTTAGCATTAAAAATATACTGTTAGGAATTGTTGTAAGTCTGCTTTCATGCTATTGTAGAAAAGGTAGCTTCCTAAACACATCTGCATTCATCTCCTCTCTGCCTTGGATGTATTAACCATTGCTGAGAGTTATAATACTAAACTAGGGAAGAGAATGCAAGATAACTACTTTAGACCAGTTACACAGGTACAGCCTAATTTTTCTGGGAAAAAGAAAAAAACACCACATATTCCAAAGACTTATCCCCAAAACAGTTTTGGCAACTGCTCTTTATGCCAGGATGCACTTTGAAACACCAGTTGTTGGCGGGAGAGACAGATGTGATAATACACAATATTTTTATTCTGATAACCATAGTCGTAGAATTTGTGTGTTCTTTGCATCATCAGAAATCAACCTTTGAAGATGTTCCAGATCCCAGAAAACTAGCAACTGGCGAAGTGTATTACAGATTACACACTACTAAGATAAGATAGCAAAGATTTTTCTTTATATTATTTTATGTTTTACATTGTAAAATGTTATGGGAAAATGCAATGAAGCAGAAATATATAAGGCAAACAAAACTTATTTATATTGCAAACATATGTGGACCATTCATCATTTGTTCTCAGAGAGTTAGCTATGTTTGAAAGCTATGGCAGATATCATCATGAAATATCTGTTCCAGAACAGTTCTGTGACAGAGTATCTTAGGTCAAGCAGAACACGTATATGTGTGGTCGCATCACTTACTGTTAAATGTAAAATGAAGTTTACATTTATGATTAAGGCCAGAAAATATACTTGCAGGCAGAACCAGAATCACTGGTTTTGGTAAGATATTAGCTGAACATTTTGACAACAATAATATGCAAGTCACAAGACTAGGGAGCAAAGTGCTGTCAAGAAAATGATGAAAAGATGTAATTTACCTTGTGCAACTGATAATATTGTTTGGCACCTATTCCTCCTTGCTCTTCTCCTGTCCACAGCACCAAGCGCAGAGTCCTTTTTGGGCGAAGTCCTAAAATACAGTTTTTAATAATGTTTTTAGCACTAAATATGTATATAATTAAGCATTGTTTGCATTGGTCTCCACTCTCCAATGGATGAAAAACCTGGGTTTCCACAAACTAAACGCAAGCTATTTCAGGTGTGGGGTTTGCTATCTAGAATACTGTTTTCTTGTTTAGAGAGAAAGACTGGGGAGTGGGAGAGAGGCCACATGAGGAAGGAGTGGGCAGCTGTGGTGCTGCTACCAGTTGCAGCAGCACAAGAGAAGTATATTTTGGGGACATGTTGCAAATGTCTGAAAACCATAACATAAAGTATCTACCTCGATAGATTTCTGAAACACGTGCTTCTGTCACTGTGGTGGTCTGCAGTAAGGAATGCACATCTGCTTTCAGCAGATCCAAATCAAATTTTCGTGAGAACTACCATTGCTTTGTCATGGTTAATTTATTAAAATTAATTGAGAATGAGCTGCTAGATTTTTATGGGAAATGTTCATCCATTTCAAGAACTGAGGAGTTCTGTAATATCATTTTGCATTTTATCAGAGAAATGAAAAGCAACAATCTGTATTTTGGAATCTGAAATACAGTTGGCTGCCAACTGTATGCATGACTTTCTGAAACAAGGTGAACATGAGGCCATTTTCTACTTTGCTACGGTAGCTCAGTAAAAAAGATAAGTTCTCAGATAAATTTTGAACCCTTTTCTGCCACTGCAGAACTGAACAGATAGAAGTTGTTGCCCTTTATTTATTTGATTGTTTCTATTCATAAAGTAATACATTTGAGACATCAAACTTGAGAGCATAGAAGAGCAAACAGATAAAGAAAAATGTGTTCTCTGTGCAGTGAAATGCTAATTATGTTAGAAAAAAAAAGACAAAACAGTGAGGAGATTATCACAAGTGATAAAGCATAAAGTACCACACACATCTTTGTGCCAAGGAGAAATAATATCAGTATCACCAGCAAAACTTAGTTCATTTCCTAACTGAAATGGTTGAAGATTGTCAATAGGCCTGACCTTCATTAATTTTTTTCTCTCAACACAGTGGATATGATCTGAAGATTTCTTTCTCAAAACTACATGCTAGCAATCCTCATAAGTGAAGGCAGAGTATAAAAGGAATAACCCAAATCTGAAGAAAACAACTTGGATTTTCCAATATTTCATAATGAAGGAAGTGCAAACAAGTGGTTTAAAGGTGTATTTTTCTAAATGTTAATCTGCTGACTGTAAACAGAAAGGTTGTCAAATCTCATTGCTTTAAAAATAACCTCCCAGTGGATTCCCTGCTCTCCTAAATCATGACAGTACAGGATTAGCCTCCTTCACTTTTCAAATCAGATGTCCAATGAGGTAAAATTTAAATAATAAAATAGCTATTGGTTTGAAGTCAGAAAGATTTAAGCCCAAAATAACCAGAAATGTGTTAGCAGTTTGGTTAGAAGAGATGGTTGTAAAAAAGAAAAAGTGCTGGGTATAAAGCATAGAGTGGCCAGTCCTGTGGTACGGTTCCTGTGGTACGGTTCCAGTGGCACTGCAGTTGAAGTGGAAAAAAGAGGTTTATGTGTCATATCACAAAATGCAAAGTGCTGAAGCCCAGTCTCAAGCCCACCACACCAAGGCTAGGAGAGCAGCTTTGGTAGGAAGTGCTTGAGACAGGAGCAGCAGCTCCTGCCTCCTCCCAGGCAAAAAACAAGATGCTTTAGTCTGACACTGCTGCCCTAAGGGGAACTTGGGTCAGTGATCAGGGTCTTCATGTTTGGCTCAGATGGGCTGTAACCCCAGCTGATTTCTCCTGCTTTCCAGGAGCTTGAGATCTCAGCTCACTTGTGGAGAAGAAGGTTGAGACTCTTATGGCCCTTTCCTAGCTCGTCATTGTATCTGTCCATTGAAGCTGGGGAAATAACGAAGTCCTACTGAGCTTTTGGTCTTTCAGTCCCGGAGGCGGTGTATCAGCTCTTCCTATCTCACAGATTCCCATCAGCAAATTCATTTGTGTGCTCTACTGAAATTAAATTGGTAACTTAAAAAAAATTAAATAAATATATATGTAAGCTATGGAGGCAGTTACTTTAAATAGAAGCAAAGTGTACAGAGGAAAATTTAATTTCCTCATTATCTTAATCTGAAAGTGATAAGTATTTATCTACCTGTTATTAAAAACAGAGCTATTGTGACCAAAGAGCAGCAAACAAATCTAATATTCACAAGTAAAACTGCCAAGAATATTCTCAATGCATGTTTTTATTTAAAAACAAAACAAAACAAAGTACTGTACTAAAGTTACAATTTTTTTTTACTATTAAGTTTAACTATTTTGGTTTGCTTCTTAAAAACTACAGCTCCCTAAGCAAGGTATCACCTCCACAAATCAGAAGTCTTGCAGATCACAGCTCAAATATATATGGAAAAGATACGATAAAATATCAATTGGACTAGAAAACTGTGTTCTACGATAGGTGTATAATGTAGAGGGGTACGTAGACAACTTTAAAATGAAGGAAAACTGTTTCACAAATAAAATAGTGCCTCTTTCTTTTTTATATGTATAAATGAATAATCATATTCAAAATAAAGAGGATATCAGAAGAAAAACCTACAGATGAATTTAAAATTCTTCAATGTTTTAGAAAAATGTATTAGGTTTTTTTTCCCCTCTCCTCGAAACTTAACCGGGAAATACAATCATAGTTTATTACAAAGGTACATTTTACTAATGATCCTCTACATTCTTATGGTTTATCTCAAGTATAAAAAATACTACAGAGTACTTGGGTTCCTAAGTTAAAGAATGAAATAAAAACATCGATACAGTTGATCTATGACTAAGGATACGCATGTAGTAAGCACAGCAGGACACTGGCTCCATTACAGTCCCTCTGTGCTGGAGTGGCTGCCACCCTTTCATTCTCCTTGGGTACCACAAACACTTCAGTCATACCAAGATGCAGCTCTTATTGAGTCTATTTTCTGTTTCTTTTAAATCATCACAGATTGTTCACATTTGTAGATACCACCATAAAGACTTGAATTTTATGTCCTACATGTCTTGGTCATGCTTGATAGAATTGAGACACTCCCACACACCAAAACTGAAATGTATTGTTTGGTACACATAGTGACAAATTATAATGACCTGTCACATGCAAAGTAAAAAAATAAACCCGCTTCACTCTCAAGGCAGCACATAAGTCAGGATGGAGAACTCGAATCGTCTTTTTTTAATCAAAATAGAGATCAGTACTGTAAACACTAGATTTCCTTCAGTAACTATTTTCCCACTTTATAAACATAAATCCTTACCAATGGAGAGGATTACAAAGATAAAGCATTTTCTAAGAAGACAATGTGTATATGACTAACAGACTTCTTCAATGTTGTTCTAAGACTGATCAGCTCACAAAAACGTAAAAAGCATTCCACCTTTGTGAAAACAGATTTTTATCCCTGCAAGTCAAGGCACTGGAATCATGCACAAACAAATCAAATAGTTCAGCTTATATAAGGCATATAAGGAAACTGCAAATGGGTGTGAGTAGATTAACAGGCGTCGTGGTTTAACCCCAGCCAGCAACAAAGCACCACACAGCCCACTCCTCCACCAGTGGGATGAGGGAGAGAATCAGAAGGATAAAAGATGGAAAACTCAAGGGTTGAGATAAAGATAGTTTAATAGGGAAAGCAAAAGCTGCAGACACAAGCAAAACAAAACAAGGAATTAGTTAATTCCCAAGCCCCTGCATAAATGGTTTATCAAAGCCTTGATCTGAGCATAAAGTAGAATGTGCTGCTTGAGGGAGGTGATTCTGCCCCTCTACTCTCCCCCCTGGTGAGACCCCACCCAGAGTACTGCATCCAGCTCTGGAGTCCAGAGAAGGGTACAAATATGACCAGATGGATGGAGTTCCTCTCCTACAAAGAAAGACTGAGAGAAGAGAAGGGAGACCTTAGAGCAGCCTTCCAGTACCTGAAAGGAGTCTATAAGAATAAAGATGGGGAGAGACTTTTTAGCAGAGCCTGTGGCAATAAGGACAAGGAGCAATGGTATAAAACTAAAGAAGGGTAGATTCAGATTAGATGTAAGATTTTTTTTACAATGACAATGGTGAAGCACTGGCACAAGTTGCCCAGAGAGGTTGTGGATGCCCCATTCCTGGAAACATTCGAAGTCAGATTGGACGAAGCTCTGAGCAACTTGATCTAGTTGAGGCAGCTCCTCCTCATTGCAGGGGAGTTGGACTAAGTGATCTTTAAAGATGCCTTCCAACCCAAACTATTCTCTGATTCTGTGTTTCCTTACTTTCTAATACTGCCTAAATCACTAATGTAATTTGCTTCAGCAGCTACTAGAGAGAGCTATATACAGATATATCATCCTCAAGTCTTGTCTGCTGCTGCATTTAACATCATGAGCTACAGCTTTTTTCTGCAGTTATCCTGGGGCCTGAAATTTCTTTAGAAGGGTATTTATACGACAGGTAATAAGATACGTGATGCTGCTGCTGACAATCTTTAAAGTCCTATCGCACTCCCTACCTTTTTCAGGTTTGTAGCTGATTAGACATAGGGGATTTACTGTGTGACATTAGTTGGGATATTTCTATCATGCATACACTTCTCATAGAATGCCTGGAATTTCCAAAACCTCTGCCACAGTTTAAGATAAAAATAAAACCAGTACCGCACATTTTGCTAAAGAAGATAAGAACGCATCATCAAAAACAGTGGTAAAATCTGCTTCCATTTTAAAAGACTACTACCTGATTCATGTGTTCTGTGGTATAAGCAAGTACTGTGTTAGAGAAAAGGCTCTTACCCCTAGTAACTTGTTTCCTGGCTAATCTCAAAGAAGATACATATAGAAAAAACTGCAATTAATAGGATGAAAGTAATAACACAGTTAATTGAACATGTCCAGACTTTTTCCTCTGAAGACCAAGAAGAAGTCTCTATTCTAAACCAGCAGGTCTTTGGCTTTCATTCTGCTATTAGAAATACCAC